GAATCACACTTTCATCTTATACCTTTCTCCATTCTTTCAGGTGGAGTTCAATCTTATTCCGTACCGAGACAGTGGAACACTCATTCTTTCCTCTGTGGATGATATTCAGGTCATGCTGGATGATCACATTGTCAAGACACAGACAATGCGTGGTTCACCGTTTATCAAACCATTTGAAACGGAGATACGGTGAGTATATAGTCAGTTTTCAACTGCTACACTGACATTAAACCAATGAATCTCTAGTGACGGGTTAGACTGAAAACATTTTTACTTCTTAGTCATCGATTCAATGTAACAAATAATTATTGCGTGGTACAGTGCGCTACTCCATTGTCAAAGGGTTAGGTGAAAACTTTTGTTATCTATTTACTTGTTCAAAAGCTCTTCGTCCCCTCTTTCAGTGTAAGTCATGCAACCAGTCAGTAAATCTTTTTTCCAGAATATATATATATATATCTCACACGTCTAATTTCAAACTAATCACTGCACAAAAATCGACATCACAGAGGAAAAGGTTCACTAATTGCTGGTGAGCGAAATAGCTCCAGATTGTCCACACAAAGCAAATGATTTACACAATTGAAATACTTTAGGCGTTCATTTAGCAGTATTTGAATCCGATCAACTAGAAGAAACTTTGTTGTGGCTATGATAAAGATTTTTCTATTTTCGCCTCATCGCCAAACCGATCAATTTTTCTCTAAAATCCCTCTAGCAACCGAGTTTACGTGGGAGTGACACCGAAGAGCTAATCGATTTCGCAATGAGCATGATAACTGAGTTTCTTAGGCCGTTCCCTGTGAAAAGTTCCTTTGAGTGTGTCTGGGTGCTCAGTATTCATTAGCGCAGACGTTCAGCATATCAGACAATAGTGATCCTCAGTGGACAGGGTGAAAACCCCTGAAACCTGCTTGCGCGCAAGCATTGTATCAACGCAGTACTTCTTGTCTGCCTATTTGCGCACTGATTGCTGACCTCAATAACTGCGTCCATTGCACATTAGTTTCATCCCTTTCTCTAAGATACTGACTGTAATCCAAGAGCTTTTATCTCTGCAGAAACTCAGCAGAATGGTCCTTTAAGAAAGGCATTCCATGATGTTCATCAAATGGGTAAGAAAGCCCCAACTTCGGACCTCATCAAACATCCACAATCAGATATTCCTCCGAAACAACGAACAACAATTCACCCTGTGATACTGGAAAATACCCGTGGATTGCACCAAGAATTCAGTTTGGCAAACAAGCTCGTTTTCGGTGCCTCATTTACTAGCCAAATACAGCACTCTTTTATAGGTCACCAAATCACATAATTCAAGGAAAAAAATAAGTGTAAATAATGTCCGTGTTTGTATGCGTGTGTATTGATACTATGGATAATACAGTAAGGGGTGTATGACTGTTCAAATCATTCTGCAACTCATCCGACTGAGCGTAGAAGACTGCTCTTAAAGGAGCATCTTGAAAGCTTGATCAAACTTCAGAGAAACAAAGATATTATTCTTCTGAGACAAGATAAAGGCTCGGGGATTGTCATTCTTGACCGGACTGATTATGTGAAGAACATGGAACAGTTGTTACGAGACACGACTAAGTTTACTAAAAATGCTGGGGAAAAAGATAGAACGGCCGCCATCAAGAAAGGATTGTCTAATACCGTTAGAAAACTGAAACAAGACGGGATAATAAGCTCCAGCACTTCGAAAGAATAAGACCAGTTGGTACACATATACCACGATTCTACGGTCTACCAAAACTACGCAAACAAGGGTTGCCAATGCACCCAAAACTGGGCATGTACAATTCACCTTACAACGGAATAGCGAAATGGCTAGCTGAAATCTTGGAGCCCGTCAGAGGGGAACTAGCAACTTACAGCCTGAGGGACACCTTTGAATTTGTGGACACTATTGAATCGCTGGACTTTTCAGGGAAAACACATGTTTTCTCTCTATTCACTAACGTACCTCTTGGAGAGATCATAGACCACCTATGCAATCAGACTGAGCGCAGATATGTGAATACTGGTTTGCCCATTGAGGACCTTCGCCACCTAATCTACTTATGCACGCATTATGTGTGATTCCAGTTCAATGAGGTGACGTACCGCCCGAGGGACGGGATTGCGATGGGATCTCCCT